CCTTGGTCTCGCTCGCATTCCTGCAGCCACGAGAGCGGCTCGAGTCCAAGGCTGGAAAACTTGCCTAAAAAAAGTCTCAGACATGAGCGAGCTATTCTTAGTTCATCTGTTCTATTTCTGCACCGCGAGCTCTTAAAGGGGAACGGGCCGGTGTTCTCCAGTGTGTTCTCTAGTGTTTTTGTCTTGTTTACTAGTATAAATATCTAAAAATTCTTGAATCAAGATGAATTTACTGTAAAAGTAAAATGACTTAAGATATTAGGTCTTGTTTTATGTAAAAAATTTAAAAAAAAAATTTAAATTTTGTTAGTTTTTCCTCAAAACAAGCAAAAATATCTGCCAGTGGGGTAAGAAAAATAATCTTGTTTAGGCTTTGAATTAAGATTATTTTTCTTGCCCCATTGGCAGATATTTTTGCTTGTTTTAAGCAAAAACTAACAAAATATTGATACATTTTTTTTTTAGAAAACAAGACTTAATACCTTAATCATTATACTTGTCAAGTAAATGCATCTTGATTCAAGAATGTTTAGATATTTGTACTAGAAAACTAAAAATATCATTTTTTGCAGTGCAGAAAGCATTTTTTTTTCTGATAGAGTCTTGAAAAGAACCTCATTTTTTGTTACATTGTAAAAAGTCTGCATGAAGTCAAAATTTACAATACTTATTTTGTTAGCGCACATTAAGGCCAACAATTAATCCGTGCAAGTTAATTCTCTGAAGAAGAAAAAAAGTGTTTGTTTTGGTAATCTGATAATTTGCTTCTGCTCTGGAATGGCATGCCTTCTCTGATAACGTCAGTTCGCAAAAATAAAACCCCGCACTCTACCCAATATTTTGTTTTAGTTGGAAATACGTCACCATACTGAAATAAAGTCGGCAGCAACTTCCGGTTCACGCGGACTTTAACCATACAAATATAATAAAATAAATGAAAATGCCAGAGCTACATTAAGGCCCATTCACACCAAAAACTATTACTATAATGATAACTTAATTAGCGTTCACACCAGCGGATGATAACGCTATGTTTAAATGCTGGAGCTGTTTAAAGCAGGATGGATTCTGATTGGCTGTCAACGTGCTTATCATTCAGTTATAGTCATAAATACCATTAATCTTATCATTATAGTTATAGATATTGTCATAGTTAGTTAGTGTTGGGGAAAGTTACTTTTAAAAGTCATTCATTACAATGTTGCATTACTCTCTAAAAAAGTAACTAATTGCATACTTATTTACTTTTATGGAAAGTAATGTGTTACGTTACTTTTGCGTTACTTTATCTCACCTGGGCTGAGCTTGCCTGTTTGTTTTTAATATAAAAAAGCTATGTTTTGGCAAATGCAAAACCACTTTCACACCAAAAGTGGAAATGTAAATTCACGATAAGATGCAGTAGAAGAAAGTTCAACACTCTTCAGAAATAATTTAAAAAATGAAACACAAACGTTATGTTTATCTAAAGTCATTAGTTTCGTTGAATTGTATCATTGAAGCTCAGCAACAGACACACTGGTTAATAAAATGGGATTAAATACATAAATGATATTTGTAAGACATTTTCTTGTAAATTGAAAAGTAACGTGTTACTAACACTACTTGAAAAAGTAATCTGATTACATAACTCGAGTTACTTGTAATGCGTTACCCTGATTTGTTGATTACAGCTGTGGTGTTGACGTCGCTATTCTCTTAAAGCTAGAGTGATTATTAAAGCTTTATGGTTATGGTTGTGTTGTGTGACGTTCTCTCTCCTCTGATATTCGCAGCGGAGCCTCTGGTCAGACAGGTGAAGAAGACCCGGATAAGCAGAGATGACTTTGACATCTTGAAGGTGATCGGCCGAGGAACCTTCAGCGAGGTGAGAGGGTTTGTGCTGGTTCTGTTATGAAGCGGATGAGTATTAATATATTGATTGAGGTGTAAATGCACAGGTGGCTCTGGCCCGCATGCGTAACACACAGCAGGTTTACGCGCTGAAGATCATGAACAAGTGGAACATACTGAAGCGTGGAGAGGTAAACAACAAAAACTAGCGTGCATCTTCTCTAAAAGCACTTAGATTCCCAGCTAACAAAAATATGTTCTAAGAACGCTTTGCTAACGTTGTGTAAACATTATTTGGATGTTCTCTGAACATGTCAATGTCCAGTTTTTAAAAAAGCGCAAACTTTTAAGCAACATTCCATTATTTATTATGAGAATGTTACATTTGAATGTAACGTTCTGAAACAAGTAGTAACATTAAAAACGTTAGATGAAAGTCCAACCAAAATGTTTCAGAAATAAAATGTTCCATGAACAAACGTTTTTGTGCTAACGTTTCGAGAACATTATTAAAGACCAGGGGCCGGATTCACGAACATCTTCTTACGAAATAAGTTTAAAAATTTCATCGTCACTATTAATAGTCCTACTAGTGTTGTTGTAATGCTTAAATGTAACAATTAATTTGAAATAACCCAATGAATTCTTTCAATAATTCTTACTATTTGGGATTTAAGACAAGTCTGGGGCTATCCTAACTTTGAGAAGCTATTTACAATGATTTCTAAGAAGATTATCTTCAAGAATTTGAATTCTTCTTAAGTTTGGTCTCAAGAACAATCTTGAGAAAAAAAATTGACGAAAATTCTTAAGAAGAATTTTTGGGAATACAAAATATCCTTGACTTTTTTTCTTAAGCTAGAAAAATAAATTTCTTCTTAAGAATGTTTCGTGAGTCCGGCCCCAGATCATTTTGAAAGAATGTTCTGTTAGTGTTACTGGAAGAATGTTTGTTCGTAACTTTGAGAGAACATTAGCCAAAGTTCTGAGAACGTTCCCTGTTAGCTGGGTTTAATTATAATGGAGTGTTAATGGAGAGCTGTGTGCGTTCAGACGGCGTGTTATCAGGAGGAGCAGGAGGTTCTGCTGAAAGGAGACCGGCGCTGGATCACTGAACTACATTACACTTTCCAGGACGACAATTACCTTGTACGTGTCACTTCACACAGCCGACTCTTCACTGATTCACTGATTCAAGACTAAACACAGCCTGACCTGATAAAACACAAGCGTTTCCACTTTAATTTGAATCAGAATGTTCTGAACACAAATGGACCAGTTCAGTTGATTTAGGGTTTATTTGACCAAAAGTATGACATTATATCACTCATGCCCCTAAAACCACAGGACCTCAGATCATAATTCACTACTCTATAGTATTTAATTTTTAATAACATATTTGAGTAAGAAAAATGAAAGAGTATAGTTAATACTATATCCTTGATTCTTTAACTACTCAAAAGAGAAAATAGGAAACTCAACATTTCTGTTTCCTGCTAGCTGAATTTCACATACATAAACAAACATTTACCTTAAATCAACCTCTTTTCTTTATTCAAAGTTGATCTAGACAGCTACTGTACAGTTCTGTTCATCTCTATATTCATCCTATGTGTCCTCTTCAGGTGTAAATTTATTACTTTTTTTGTAAACCTGGCAACACATCTGTATCTGTGTATTCTTTAATTCTTTCTTTTTCTTCGTTTTGTTTTCATTAACCCGTTCTGATTCAAACGATGCGCTCCAAAGACCCGATATGAATCGAAAGAATCGCGGACCTGCTCCGAAGTCCCGATCTGAATCAAATTAGTTGCGCTCCGAAGTCCCGAACTGAATCAAATGATTCGCGAAGCCGCTCCGAAGTCCCGATCTGAATCAAATGATTCGCGATAGGCGCTCAAAGTCTCGATCAAATGATTCGCGAAGCCGGTCCGACCCTGTCCCAAATGGCACACTTCAAGCACACTAAATCAAATGATTCGGGCTAGTGAATCGCATGAACTGAAAGTCACGAGTTTGAGTTTGAATCAATTAGAGCGGTTCAAGCGTAAATGACTCACTCAATTGAATCGGTTTGTCTGTTCCTCCGCTTTTCGCGTCTTCAGCCATGTTTACACGACACTGTCGCTAGTTTGATGAGATTAACAGAAATAAGATTTTTTTAAAAGTATGATGTTTACAAATAAAATATCCATATTTCATATTTCCATTCCAAAGATAGCCTAACCACAAATCTACGAACATTCAGGTGAGGTGACCGGTTTACTGCAACATAACGCGCTGCAGCTCAAAATACATGGAAACATTGTGCATTATGAACAAGTTTGTGGCTGAGTGGATAGGATGTTGTATAGGATGATCGGATGTTCAGTTTGATGTCTGCTCTCTTCCTGTAGAGACATTAAGCCTGACAACATTCTCCTGACGGCGGATGGTCATGTGCGATTGGGTGATTTTGGCTCCTGTCTGCGTCTGGAGGATGACGGACTGGTGATGTTTATCAGACGTAAGCCTACATTCAGTCATGTGTGATTGGCCCGCTGTGCTCATATGTTGTATATTCTCAGATCCACTCGTCGCTGGCCGTCGGGACTCCAGACTATCTGTCTCCAGAGATCCTGCGGGCGGTGGAGGGCGGCGGAGGCTACGGCTCTGAGTGTGATTGGTGGGCTCTGGGCATCTGCGCGTATGAGATGCTGCTGGGAACCACACCCTTCTACGCCGAGTCCATCTCTGAGACATATGCCAAAATAATACACTTCAAGGTAGGGCTGGGCGATATGGCAAAAAATTAAAATCTCCATTTTTTTTTCCAGAATATTTGACATTCTCGATTTTTACGATTTTAAACTAGTCAACTTTAAAATTTAACTACAACATGAATTAAGTAACTTTTTCTTTATTAAAGGGATAGTTCACCCAAAAATGAAAATGTGATGTTTATCTGCTTACCCCCGGGGCATCCAAGATGTAGGTGACTTTGTTTCTTCAGTAGAACACATTTGATGATTTTTAACTTTAACCGTTGCAGTCAAATTATTGATCAAATATGACTGTTATTGTTTTTTTTGTTGTTGTTGTTGTTTTTTTTAGCAAGGACAGCCCAGGTGAGAGAAAAGTAATGCAAAAGTAATGTAACTGATTACTTTACAAAAATGTAACCAAGTAATACAATTAGTTACTAATTTTGTGTTACTAATTAGTATAACTTTCCCATCACTGTATATTACTATTATATAACGTACTTCTCAAAATATTAATAATATAATTATTTAAGGAATATCGTACAACCAAGATATTTTTCCAACCATCCACAGTTCTGTTGTGCTGCATCTTATTTGACAGAAAATTTAAAAAAAAGTGGGAAAAGGTTTTGTGGTCATAATTTTTCACCCAGCCCTTCTGTCACCAAACATAATTCTAGTACAGAAAGACTCTAAATATTCAGTAATAGCACTGATTTAACTGCACTGACACCGTGAGACTAGAACAAACCTGGATTGAACTGGATAATGGCACTGTTGTCTTCTGTAGTTACAGCTTTGATTTCATAACCAGCGTTGTGGGTAACGCATTACAAGTAACGCAAGTTACGTAATCGGATAACTTTTTTCAAGTAACTAGTAAAGTAACGCATTACTTTTTAATTTACAAGAGAATATCTGAGTTACTTTTTCAAATAAGCATTTATTACTATTATTATTATTATTTCTATTTTGAGAAGTAAGCTTTAATATACAATAGTAATATATTTCTGTCATAATTTCTTCAAGTTAAACTGAACTTTTAATTTATTACTATTATTATTATTATTTCTATTTTGAGAAGTAAGCTTTAATATACAATAGTAATATATTTCTGTCATAATTTCTTCAAGTTAAACTGAACTTTTAATTTATTACTATTATTATTATTATTTCTATTTTGAGAAGTAAGCTTTAATATACAATAGTAATATATTTCTGTCATAATTTCTTCAAGTTAAACTGAACTTTTAATTTATTACTATTATTATTATTATTTCTATTTTGAGAAGTAAGCTTTAATATACAATAGTAATATATTTCTGTCATAATTTCTTCAAGTTAAACTGAACTTTTAATTTATTACTATTATTATTATTATTTCTATTTTGAGAAGTAAGCTTTAATATACAATAGTAATATATTTCTGTCATAATTTCTTCAAGTTAAACTGAACTTTTAATTTATTACTATTATTATTATTATTTCTATTTTGAGAAGTAAGCTTTAATATACAATAGTAATATATTTCTGTCATAATTTCTTCAAGTTAAACTGAACTTTTAATTTATTACTATTATTATTATTATTTCTATTTTGAGAAGTAAGCTTTAATATACAATAGTAATATATTTCTGTCATAATTTCTTCAAGTTAAACTGAACTTTTAATTTATTACTATTATTATTATTATTTCTATTTTGAGAAGTAAGCTTTAATATACAATAGTAATATATTTCTGTCATAATTTCTTCAAGTTAAACTGAACTTTTAATTTATTACTATTATTATTATTATTTCTATTTTGAGAAGTAAGCTTTAATATACAATAGTAATATATTTCTGTCATAATTTCTTCAAGTTAAACTGAACTTTTAATTTATTACTATTATTATTATTATTTCTATTTTGAGAAGTAAGCTTTAATATACAATAGTAATATATTTCTGTCATAATTTCTTCAAGTTAAACTGAACTTTTAATTTATTACTAATACTACTATTATTATTATTATTTCTGTTTTGAGAAGTAAGCTTTAATATACAATAGTAATATATTTCTGTCATAATTTCTTCAAGTTAAACTGAACTTTTAATTTGACAGGTTGTCATGTAGATCTCTCAGTCTGCCAGCCAATTTTTGACCAGTTCCATGACAGTTTGCAGGATTCTGCGATTTGCGCATGTTTGTAAAAAATAAGGCATGAATATAGATGAAGCGCTGAGTGTGTGTTTCTGTCTGAACAGGATTATTTTGAGTTTCCTCCGGGGTCTGAGGTGTCCGAGGAGGCGCGGTCACTCATCAGCGCTCTGATCTGCGACAGGAGCGAGAGGTTGGGCTCACGGGGCTCCGTGGACTTCAGAAAACACCCGTTCTTCACAGGTTTGGACTGGAGTTCCCTTCATCTCCTCCCTCCTCCGTACCGTCCTGACGTCTCCGACGCCACAGACACCTCCAACTTCGACGTGCTAGACGACTGTCTGAGCGACACGGTACCCGAGCCATCAGATCCGTCACAGAGATGTGAATCTCAGCGTGATCTGACTCTCCTGCTCTTGTGTTCAGGAAAGCCTGAGTGACGTGATGGAGCGAGCGCCGGTTGGGCTTCATCTGGCGTTTGTAGGCTACTCTTACACAGCCACCAGGTTAGTGACTCTTCATCAGCAGCTTTATTGTTGAGCGCAGCTTTAATGGTGTGTTCACACCAAATGCGAAGCGAATATGCGCATCGCGTCACTCGCTCTATATTACTCACAAGATGTCATTTTAGATGTTAACTAAATAACTAACTACCTGTTGTGGAAGTCCCATATATGCTGGAAAGCCAAATGCTGATGTGTCTGGTTTCAGAGGCGGATGAGTATTGATTAGTGCTGTCAAACGATTAATCGCATACAAAATAAAAGTTTTTGTTTGCATAACATATGTGTGTGTTCTGTGCATATTATCCTGCATTAATGTGTGTTACATTTTACTGCTGTATATACACTAGCTATGTTTCCATCCACCTATTTTTATGCACATTTTGGAATATCGCATAAAAAAAACGCTGGATGGAAACGCCGAGCTGTGCATAAATTCTAAAAATTCACATAAAAAAACGTATGCGCACAATTGAGTAGGATAAATGTTTTATCCGATAAGAAAAAAAATGCACATAAACTAAGATGGAAACACATTTACCGAATAAATTCCACCATGCGCATTGAAAAAGTCATGTGACTTTGCGCTATGAGACGGGATAACTTGACTAGCAGCGGACCGATCTCGTTCACGGCATCTATATGTTGTTTTGGTCATTCTGAAATGCCTGAGGAAAGTCTGTCGTCAAAGTATTTCTGTATAATTACTGTCTTAAACGACTGCGTTCCCAAACAGCAAAGCAATGACCGCATTTATTGTGTTACGTCTGCTTTCTGAGGTGCAAGTAATTTATTAAATATGAAACTTATTATATTCAGTGGCTTCTCCTAGTTTTCTTAGAGATATTTAGTGCCAGTTTATCAGGAAGTGACGATTTTGTTCTCTTTGACTCGTTGGATGGAAACGGTGCTTTATTCGCAAATGTTTTATGCGATATTCCAGTTTTGCGCATAAGTGAAATTTGCATCTTTGGATGGAAACATAGCTACTGACATTTTTTTTAATTGATAGCAGCATCTCTGTAGCCATGCTAATAAAATACAACTACCACTACAACTGATTTTTTTTTAATGCTCCAGACCTATATCATAAATTTCGGGGTTCCCACAGACGGCTACAATAATGCTCTCTTCCATTTTCTGATTCAACTGGACGTGTCAATTAGGCCTAGCTCGCGCGAGAATGCGTCATGCAAATTTTCTGCTCGAGGTGAAATTTTTGAACTTGCGCGCTAGACACGATTGAGGCAGAGGTTGCGTTAGACTTTAACATTGTCAGTCATTTTGACGGACAGGGTCGTAAAAATTCCGTCATAATCTATTATTACCCGTCATTTAAATTTTTTATATTTTAATTATAATAACACATTTAATTTGATTTTTTTCACATTTGTTCATTTTTAATAATGAACCTACAGGACGAGCATATAGGCATATGCATTTATTTATTTATGAAGAGAACCGATGAACAGAGACAAAAGTTTTTGTTTGCATAACATATGTGTGTGTTCTGTGCATATTTATTATGCATACATAAATACACACACACACATACAGTATATATTTTGAAAATAATTACATGTATTTACATGTCTATATTTATATTCATATAATTTATATTATAAATAAATATTATGAAACTTATTATATTCAGTGGCTTCTCCTAGTTTTCTTAGAGATATTTAGTGCCAGTTTATCAGGAAGTGACGATTTTGTTCTCTTTGACTCGTTGGATGGAAACGGTGCTTTATTCGCAAATGTTTTATGCGATATTCCAGTTTTGCGCATAAGTGAAATTTGCATCTTTGGATGGAAACATAGCTACTGACATTTTTTTTAATTGATAGCAGCATCTCTGTAGCCATGCTAATAAAATACAACTACCACTACAACTGATTTTTTTTTAATGCTCCAGACCTATATCATAAATTTCGGGGTTCCCACAGACGGCTACAATAATGTTCTCTTCCATTTTCTGATTCAACTGGACGTGTCAATTAGGCCTAGCTCGCGCGAGAATGCGTCATGCAAATTTTCTGCTCGAGGTGAAATTTTTGAACTTGCGCGCTAGACACGATTGAGGCAGAGGTTGCGTTAGACTTTAACATTGTCAGTCATTTTGACGGACAGGGTCGTAAAAATTCCGTCATAATCTATTATTACCCGTCATTTAAATTTTTTATATTTTAATTATAATAACACATTTAATTTGATTTTTTTCACATTTGTTCATTTTTAATAATGAACCTACAGGACGAGCATATAGGCATATGCATTTATTTATTTATGAAGAGAACCGATGAACAGAGACTGTGCGTCACTTTTCATGTTCAAGACACTAAAAACAACAAAATATGCTAGGGCTTGGTAAAAAAAAAAAAGATTTCTCGATTTTAATAGATTCTCATTTTTATGAACCAATATCGATTCTTAAATTCCAATCGACTCTGTTTTCAGTTGATGAATGTCCAATAAATCACAATAGGCTAAGCTTTGTGCGTTGTTACTTTTGATATGAAACAAAGTCTCAGATTTCAAATTTATGTCCATTTTATTAGGAAATTCAAGCAAATGGCGTGATAGATCGCTGTAGCTTAAACTGGATACTCGCCTGTGCGTAATCAAATGCATAGCAAAAGACTCGTGACAGTTTTACTTTTGTTCTGGAGCTGATGATCCTGCGCTCTGCTGCCACTCTGGACAGGGTGGGAATTACAGTTATAAATTACAATAGATCACCCTCAGTGTAATCTGTCAAAGTGACGGACGGCCTTCAGATTTTTCGGTCACTGCTAAAAAAAAATTCTGTCAATGATGGAAAATTTTCGGTTAACGTGACCTCTGGATTTAGGCGAATATTGTGTGTTTCACGCATTTCGCGTCATTTGCGTCGCCCAGTGCGAATTCACCTCTATTTGCATATTTGCATTGAGGTTGTATGTAATCTAGTCATGCGAATTATTAAATTCACGTTTGGTGTGAACACACACCATAAGATGTTCTCACTCTGCTGTGCCGTACAGAGAGACGGGAGCACTGGACCGCAGCAGAGACATCATGATGGAGATCAACCAGCAGCAGGATAGAGATCTGCTCCACCTGCAGGGAAAACTGGTACGGTGAACACTGATCGATGAAAACATCAACAAAATCATGAAATTCAGTCATAAAAATTTAATTTACTGTAAATATGTATTACATCATAAAATCCAGAGAAATTCAAACTGACCACACAGAATTTCTGGAGGGGAAAAAAATACAAATTTCATAGGACGCTGTTATTGTTAAAAATTTTAATTGATAAAGATTTATGAATTCAGTGGATTAGATGTGCTTTCTAATTATTCAAATTAAATCAAGCCATTAAAATGGAATTCAAAACAGAGAATTTGGGAAAAAAATAAAAAAAATTCTGAAAAACATTAAATGTAAGTAGGGCTTTATGAAATGTGTTTTATTTATTTATTTATTTTACCAAATGCACTTTTTTTCTGGATTCCTTTTTAATGGTTCTATAACATTTTACAGTTTAGAGCCCTATAAAATACATTGTAATTTTCCCAAATTCTGATTTTTTTCCCCCGTTTTAATTTTGCTGGATTCAATTTTTGATTTTGTTTGAACTTTTCTGGATTCCATTTTAATGGTTAAATAAAATGTAATAATCTAATAGCATGACTTATTAATTGAAGTCATGAAACTTATACAATTTAACATGGGTTTATTAAAAAATGAACCACAATAAGTAATCTTCTTGATGTACATTTAGAAAGAGATTTATTTCCATGATTTCATTTCTAAATCACACGAGGTCCCCAGATAATACTAATCCTGTGCGAATAGGGCTAATGATTGTTTTTTGGTAATGAACCTTCCAGTGCATACATATGAAATCAACAACAACAAGACACATTATAATAAAATGAAAGAATAAATAAATTAACTTATTACTAATCAAAAATTATGTTTTTATATATTTTTGATTTTTTTTATGAAATGTACAAATTTACAGAGGCGTGAACTATTCACATTAGTGATCTTCATCTAGCAGCAGTCTGAATCAGATGTCAGTGTGAATGTGAATGTGCTGCAGAATCAGGTGTGGCGGCTCAGAGAATCCATCACCGCTGAGCTGATGTCACTTCCTGCTGAGCAGAACAAACCCCAGCCAATCAGCAGCAGCGCAGAGACGGAGCAGAGCGACGCACACACTTACGAGCTACAGAGGTACAACAACATACACTCAACTATTACAGTCATATCTGATAATAAATGCTAAAAAGTGAAGCCAAAACATTTTGATCTGGTGGCTGGCTGCAGTATAGGTCATGAATGAATCACTACTGCGCAGACTCAAGCTCTAAACAAATCACTACTGCGTAGACTCGAGCGCTAGATGAATCGCTACTACGCAGACATGAGCTCTAAATGAATCGCTACTGCGCAGACTCAAGCTCCAAAGGAATCACTACTGTGCAGACACAAGCTCTAAACAAATCACTACTGTTTAGACTCAGACTCCCAAACGAATCGCTACCGCGCAGGCTTGGGCTTCAAATGAATCGCTACTGCACAGACTCGAGCTCCAAATAAAACACTACTTCGCAGACTTGGGTTCCAAATGAATCACTGCTGTGCATACTCGGGCTCTAAATAAATGTTCACTGTGTGGAATCAAGTTCCAAATGAATCGCCACTGTGCAGACTCAGACTCCAAATGAATCACTACTGCACAGATTCAAGCTCCAAATGAATCGCTACTGTGCAGACTCAAGCTCCAACTGAATCACTACTGCGCAGACTCAAGCTCTAAACGAATCACTACTGCGCAGACTCAAGCTCTAAACAAATCACTACTGTGCAGACTCAAGCTCTAAATGAATCACTGCTACGCAGACTCAAACTCCAAATGAATCACTACTGTGCAGGCTCAGACTCTAAATGAATCACTACTGCGCAGACTCAAGCTCCAAATCAATCGCTACTGTGCAGACTCAGACTCCAAATGAATCACTACTGCGCAGACTCAAGCTCCAAATCAATCGCTACTGTGCAGACTCTAGCTCCAAATGAATCACTACTGTGCAGACTCAGACTCTAAATGAATCACTACTGTGCAGATTCAAGCTCTAAATGAATCACTACTACGCAGACTCAAGCTCCAAATTAATCACTACTACGCAGACTCAAGCTCCAAATTAATCACTACTACGCAGACTCAAGCTCCAAATTAATCACTACTGTGCAGACTCAGACTCTAAATGAATCACTACTCTGCAGATTCAAGCTCTAAATTAATCACTACTATGCAGACTCAAGCTCCAAATGAATCACTACTGTGCAGACTCAAGCTCCAAATGAATCACTACTGTGCAGACACAGACTCCAAATGAATCACTACTGCGCAGACTCAAGCTCCAAATGAATCGCTACTGCGCAAACTCTAGCTCCAAATGAATCACTACTGTGCAGACTCAGACTCTAAATGAATCACTACTGTGCAGATTCAAGCTCTAAATGAATCACTACTACGCAGACTCAAGCTCCAAATTAATCACTACTACGCAGACTCAAGCTCCAAATTAATCACTACTGTGCAGACTCAGACTCTAAATGAATCACTACTCTGCAGATTCAAGCTCTAAATTAATCACTACTACGCAGACTCAAGCTCCAAATGAATCGCTACTGTGCAGACTCGGGCTCCAAATGACATCATTGGCGCAAGATGACAGCGGCCATACTGGGATGTTTTGGCTTCACTTTTCTGGAAAGAAGTTTTTTTTACAGTTTATGATATACAGTATATATATATATATGTATGTATGTATGTGTGTCTGTGTATGTCATGTAATTTTACTTTTTTTCACTGTAAATTATATGGTAATTCATAGTATTTTAGATTTTTGTCTTTGTGACATTTGTTAGAGTGAACAGTGGATGATTGCGCAGTAGTATTGATGTACTGCTAGTAAATACAGTGCTGTTGATGTTCTCCAGACGTCTGCACAAAGCCGAATGCAGGAACAGAGAGCTCGAGCTGGAGATGGCCGGACTGAGAGAGGAGATCCTCAGACTGACCGCCGGCAGGGACCAAGGTCAGGAATGATCTGTGATCTGGAATTGGCATTACAGATGTCACACTGACTGTATGTAATATTATCTGTGCAGTGTGTTTGAAGCTCTGCCCTGAGAATAGTGATAAATATCTCGTCCGGGAATAGATAATGAGACACAACAGAACAACTGCAGGATCACATGACTAGACCTGTCACCAAGCATGAAGTCTGACGATTGTCAAACAAATAATAACTGTGATTAACCGTTTAATTGTCTGTTTTGTTCATGTCACTTACAGTGGAAGCCTAATTTTTTATTTATATTTTGACATGGAGACATATAATTAAATAGGCATTTTTAATACTATGAATTCAATATTTAAACTTCTAAAAATCTTTTTAAATGAAATGAAATACATATATTTAAGTTATTTATTAATAATTTATAGGAAATATTTTTAGTAGTGCTGTCAAATCGTGATTAATCGCATCCAAAATAAAAGTTTTTGTTTACATAATATATGCATGTGTACTGTGTATATTTATTATGTATATATAAATACACACACATGCATGTATATATTTCAGAAAAATAGGTTATATTTATTTATAATATAAATTATAAGAATATAAATATAGATATGTAAATACATATAAATATTTTCAAAATATATACTGTCTGTGTGTATTTATGTATACATAATAAATATACACAGAACACACACATATATTATGCATGTTATATTATGCATAACATATATTATGACAGCACTCATTTTTAGTAATGCTTGTTTCAGCAATGTTTTAGGCCCAATTATTAAACTTTATGATGATCAAGTTTTGAAGCTCTTAGAGAGATATATATATGTATTAATATATTATATACAAGAGAAGCTGTCTACAACAAAATATGCTATTAACTTAATTTTGTAACTTTTATTCTTAAATTTTATATCACATATATTTGTTCTTCAATTAGTGACAGGCCAACATAGTTCTATAAACAAGAACATTTCACAGAAAATATGCATTTTTATGTTCATATTTGGTTTGGGACCAATTATTAATCTTCAGTGAAAGTTTAGTAAAGTTTTGAAGCTCTTACAGGGTTTCTGTGGGTCTTAAAAGGTTATAAAAAGTCTTAATTCACCCTTTCACAAATTAAATCATTAAAAGGCCTTAAATCATAGCAGTAAGTCTTAAATTAATAAAATCATCACATTAAATGTAGCATGAACTGCTAAATGAATCTCTTCCTCAGTATTTTTGTCTTGTTTTCCAGTACAAATATCTAAACTTCCTTAATTCAAGATACATCTACTGGAGATGCAGCATAAAGATATGAGGTCTTATGAAACTGAACAAAATGAAGTGAATTTATGAAAACAAGAACAAATATCTGTCAGTGGTGAATGAAGACAAGTTTCCCTTTGAATTAAGATGATCTTTCTGAGCCTATTGGCAGATATTTCATAGAAAGGTCTTAGAAATCTTAAATTACCTTCATGAAACCTGCAGAGTGTGACCCAATGAAGACAGTGTTCTGCTTGTGATGAGACATAATGTCTCGGAAGGTTCCTGCACATCTTCTGTCTCTGGTTTGTTGGACTGAATGGTTCTTTGTAAACATGCGGTCACACATGATGTTTCCTCACGCTCTCGCAGGCTCACAGCGGCATCACTGTGTGTGTGTGTGTGTGTGTGTGTGAGTGACTGACTGAGAGAGTGTCTGTGTGTGTGT